ATCGATGTAGGTATTTTAATGCAGCCAGATATGAAGGATACCTGGCTGGTTGTAAGTGAGATAGACGGGCAGTCTGAGCATGCAGAGATGGAGGTCAGCGAGGAGTCTCTTGTGCAGTGCCCTGAATCCCAGTCAACTGTTGCTGTATATGAATGCACTGTGCCCTGCTTTACATCAGCTGCCCTTCACAGTGAAGTTAAGCTGCTGATAACTGACAAAGAAGAGGCGGGACCAATGGAAACATTGATGCAAGACTCACAAGCCCAGAGTGATCTAGGGAATCAGACCTCATCTCATCCTGATGCACTCAAACCCACAGAAGAGTTACTTACCATGGCCTCTACGCAAAAAGAAGAATCTATAATTGTCAAGCAAAACGATGATTCAACTCACACTGATCTTGCAAACACGTTGACAGGGTTAACGTCCACAGTGATGGATGTCACACTTGAGTCTGTGCGAGAGCAGCAAGAATCTGTTGTGGTGGAAAACACACCAGGTGTGTCATTAAGTCCATTGTCTTGTGGGACGATTGATCCAAAACTACTGATCCTAAAGAAGGGTGACAGCCCTGCCCTTAAGCAACCTTCTTCGATGTCTGCTAGGATCTCAACCAAGCAGAACTTACCTGCCCTGGCTGGATCGCCCAGTGATGGATTAAATAAAGCTGCAGAGTGCCTTGCTAAAACTGAATCAGCTGTATCCTCCATCATAAAGGAGGATGTTATGTTATCTGCTGACCGCCCTATCTCAAACACTCTCTCTCAGTCCTCTCGGACTGTTTCCACTTCTAATGTACTTTCACAGAACAGCTCTGTGAAAGAAAACTTAAATAAATCAAACAGTTCTGGCAAGTTGCTTCAAAACGAATCCTCTGCTAGCGCTTCTTTGTCAACTTCAGGTCAACTCCCTAACTCAAAAAGCCGCTTTTCTCCTTCTGCTGGAGATATGTGGAGTGCTGTATCCAGTGTTGTCCCAGATGGGAATCAGTGTAAACGTTGTTTGGGTGGTACACTATGCCAGGATTCAATGACTTTGGGGGGTGAACTGGAGTTGGAGCAGCAGCAGTTACCGGATGAACTTTTGTCAACAATGCAAGATGCTCAGAACTCCATCCTGGAGCCGCTTGATGCTTCTATAGAAGAGAGCAGCGATGCAGAGGTTGACAGCTCTGTGGATGTCCAGAATGAGGACAGCAATGCTACGCCCAGTCCATCAGCGAACAAGGTAAATGCAACTAAACTATTAACACGCCTATTATGACTTCAGCCATGCTAAAGCAGTGATTTCATATGTAATTTGTTGTAATTGATATAATAGTCATGATGAAAGCATCAGAGGTAGTCAGCAAAAGTGTATTTATAATTTAGATGTTTTTGAGCCTGTGTACTCTGTCCATAACAGTTTCAAAGCCGCAATTTGATGCTAGTGCACTTCTTGGCTGTATATTGAGCCATGTGTGTTTTCCAGCGTGGGCAGAGCAGGACAGACAAACAAGGCTTGTTATTGAAGGTAAGAGGTGTCAGGCATTCTTCAGATCTAATCATTGCAAGCTGATGCGATAATCCTGCTTCTTCCAACTAGTGGTTGACCGATATGGGTTTTGCAATGGCCAATTTAGAAAGTGGGGTACACAATAAACTCCTGGTGGTATGTAGGCAAAGAAAATTTATTTTTAACAAATATGCAGCCATTAAAGTGAACACGTATTTCGCCCAGTATTTAAATTCACAATAAGGGAATGTAAAAGTTGCATCCAAGCTGGCATGGTTTTTGGTCTATGCCAAAAATCTCTAAGTGGCTCTTTATTGACCTGGAATATATATCGGTCTATCACTGCTTCAACTCACTAGCTTAAAAATATTTTTTATTCAAGTATAAACTGACAGGAAAATAGAGCTGTATAAAACTGTTTTATCATTCAGAGTAGCATTTATTATTTAGAAATTAGGAGAGAGGTTATAAGATGTTTGCTCACCAAGATGTCCTTGTAGACCAGGCTGTTTTTA